ATCCTAAATTTTTAGGCCAGACCCTAAATCTAATGTCTGGATTTATAGTGTTTATAAGATAAAGGGATAGAGATTTGAGACCTGGAGATACAGGGAAGAAGGCCATGTGAAGATCAGAGTTGTGCTACCACAAGCCAAGGGAAACCACAGCCCCCAGAAGCTGATCACGTAAGAATTCTTCCCTAGAGCCTTCAGAGGGACAGTGGTCCTGCTCATACTTTGATTTTTGGACTCTGTCTTCCAGAACTGTGAGAGAATAGGTATCTGTTGTTTTTCGTCACCAATTTTATGGTAATTTGTTACAGAAAATTACCTAGGAAACTAATACGTGTTCCAGTTTTTTGAGAGTTTCATGTCAGAACCAAACTAACAGCCAGAGGGTAAGGGAGCCTATTCATGGGAGCCTATTCATGGGATCTGTACAAGTCGCCTCAGCAGTAGAGGTGAAGATTGAGTGGGTCTGGGGGGAAGGTAGTTAGCAGATAGAAGATGTCTGGCCCAGGTAGAAGCAGCAGGATTTGCTAATGTGTTGGATCTGTGTGTTTTGTGGGATGTTGATTAAAGATAAGGAAATGTCAGTAAAGATTAAACAGCTGAATAGATGTTATGCCATTTACTGAGTAGGGAAAGACTGGATAAATGTAGCTTCCTCCATGGTAAGTTTGAAATATTTGTCTGACATGGTTAAGTAGATATGTCAGGGAGACAACTGGTTATCTAACACTGGCTTAAAGAGAGATCTGACCTGAAGGTACTAATGTAGAATTCATTGGATTTATAGATAATATTTAGAATCATGTTATCAGTAATCAAACATTATAGAAGCAGAGTTATTAGTCATTAATGGTCTTGATGGGAAGTCAGTCTCTAAAACGTACTACTGATTTATAAAACAAAGACAAGTAACGAAATATTGTGGTATAATTCTATGTATATAAAGTTCAAAAACATGTAGAACTAAACAATATTCAGGATAATGGTTACTTCTGGCTGAAGGGATAAGTAGCATCAGGAAAGGGTATATAGGGACTTCAGAAATTTGATATATTCTATTTAAGCTGTGTCATGAATACAAAAATATTTTTAAAATATATTGTCTTATATTTAAATATTTTACATATGTTCTAAACATCATTTATGTGGATTTAATCTTTACTGTATTTTAAAAATGAGACCGCCATGTCCAATAATTTGGCAAATAATGTCAAAAGCCTTATAAGGAAGTATTCTGGATAAAATGCAGCAAACTCAATTACAGAGTAAAGGAAATCCCCAGCATCCCCACCCAATTCATAGAAGCTGGAAATCACCACTGTAAGCAGGTCCTAAAATAACCAAAGATTAGAGACTAGACCTTTGCCAAGGCCAGGTGGGAAGTTTGAATGGAGACTGTGAATTGTAATATATATATATATATATATATATATATATATATGAACATGAACTAACAAAAGCTGGTCATACTTCAGGGAAATGGTAGATCTAAAAGTCTGCTTATGGAAAAGAGAAACAGGGAACCTTGTCAGTTTTGGCTTGGATTTTTTTTTTTTTTCCATTTATTTTTATTAGTTGGAGGCTAATTACTTTACATCATTGCAGTTTGGCTTGGATTTTTGAATGAGAAAAATATCTCCTAAAAATGTGAGGTCACAAGTCTGTCCTCATACAGACTCAGGGTTTTAATTGACATTTCTTGCTTGGTTCAGGAAATGTGTAGCTGAGAAATTATCAAAATGGCCACTGATGATGCCCCTGGGTAAGTAGCATTTAGCATAACCACCCAATGTGGTTCAGTGGTTCAGACTCTGTACTCCCAATTGTAGGGGCATGGATTTGATCCCTGGTTGGGGAGCTAATATCCTGCACACTGTGCCATGCAGCCTTAAAAAAAAAGAAAAGATTAGCTCACAATCTTAAATTACAAAACATGAACCTCTCTGATTAAGAATCAACAGAATCAGGGGCTTTCCTGGTGGTCTAGTGGTTGGCAATCTGTTTGATCTCTAGTTTGGGAAGATCCCACATGCCATGGAGCATCTAAGCCTATGTGCCACAATACTGAGCCCTGTGATCCAGAGCCCAGGAGCCACAACTACTGAAACCTGTGCTTCTAGAGCCTGTGCTCCCCACCAAGAGAAGCCACCGCAGTGAGAAGCCCATATAGTACGCTGAAGCCCCAGCAGAGTCAAAAACAAATAAACAAATACGTAAATCTTTTAAAAAAAGAATCAACAGAATTAGATTCCCAGAGACTTCAGAAAATGGTATTATTGAAACACTATAAAACAAGTATGTTTAAAATTTATTAAATAAATGATGAAATAAAAAAATGAAAAAAGAGCAATGTACAATTAGACTATGAAGAACTAAATGTGGCAGAATAAAGAAATAGTGACCTGGAAGATAGATCTGTAGAAATTACCCACAGGAAGCATAATTTCCGTTTTCACATGGGCATATGAACCAATTCTGGGATTTGAGACCCAAGTAAAAGTCTGCTAAGACTTTCAGGGAATTTTTTTGCTTCCCTGAAATTGATGCTTCTTTCTGACATGCATTCTGACATGGCCAGGATTTGAAGCAGTTGAAACTCTCATATGTTCTTTTGGGAATGCAAAATAATAGAGCCACATTGCAAGAACAGGTGAGTACTTTCTTATGTAAAGTTAAATACACACTTAACATGTAGAAAGTGTGGAATTCCAGGGACACAGAAATCCCGTTTTTAGGTGACTACCCAAGAAAAATAAAAACTGTGTTCCCACAAAAGTTTATGTGGGAAGCCCCACCTGGGACTTTCCTGGTGGTCTACTGGTTGGGAATTCAACAGCCAGTGCAAGGGACACAGGTTCGATTCCTTGTCTGGAAAGACCGTACATGCCACAGAACAACTAAGCTCAGCTAAGCTCTAGAGCCTGCAAGCCGCAACTAGTGAGCCCATGTGCTGCAGCTGGAGAAAGCCTGAGCACAACAAAGAACCAGCCCAACAAAACAAATAATTAAAAAAATTTTATATGAGTTGTTATAGCTTTATTCAAATTTGTCTAAAATGGAAATAGTCCAAATGCTCTTTAGTTGGTAAAGAAAGAAATTCATTGCAGTGGAATGCTTCTCAGCAATAAAAAGGAACAAATTACAGAAGCATGCAACAACACCAATGAACCTGTGTTAAGATGCATTATGCAAAATGAAAGAAGTCAGATTTGAAGGCCTAATTGCTTAATGATTCTGTTTATATGACATTTTGGAGAAGGCAGGACACTGGAGACAGAACAAAGATGAGTAGTTGCTTGGGATTGGTAGGAGGGATTGTCTACAAAGGGATACTGGAGAATTTCTGGATTATGGAACCGTTCTATATCTTTATTATGGTGGTAGTACCCAACTTTATGGATTCATCAAAACTCATTGAACTAACTGTATACCAAAATAATTTTTTTTGCTATGTATAAATTATACTGTAATTAAAAGAAAAACAATGAATAAGAAGATAGTACAGTATTCAGAGTAAATCAGAGTAAACTTACTGGAGAAATTTGGTTATGAAGAAGAGTAACTGAAGAGGATGTGGGAGTCTACAGAAGGTTTTTGTTTTTAAAGCAAATAATGGAGCATAAATTGTATAAGAATGATCCATTTTATGGGAATTCCCTGGTGGTCTGTTGGTTAGGACTTTCAGTGCACAGACTAGGTCCAGTTCCTGGACGGGAAACTTAAGATCCCACAAGCTGCAGGGCACAGCCAGGAAAAAAAACAATGATCCATTTGAGAAAGGTAGTTTGAAGATGTGCATAAATGAAGAAACAACGGGAGGAGCCAAGACAGGAGGGATGAAATCCAGCCAGCACATGTGGAAGTGTTGGTCTCTGCAAGGATGTACATGTTTTCCATAGAAGAGGAGAACCAAGGAAAAGATGCATGCAGTTTTGAGCTAAATTTGGTGGGGAGGTGGCTTCATTTTTTTCACTGAAGTGGATCAGATTCTGATATCAGCATGAAATGGGTTTGAGGAACAAGTAGAAGGCATGAAATAATTGTTGCTTGATAGCGGGAGGGTGCCCTGTCTAAGGAGACTTTGAATGATTTTCAGCTACTTAGGGCTCATTTGAAGTTAATGTTCATGAATTTTTCATGACATAATATGTTGTGTGAATCTTCTCCTCTTTATAGATGATTAGCTGCTGGGTGTTGCCATAAAAAAAAGGTGAATAGCAAAGTTCTTCCAGGAGAATGTCTGGAGAGTATGATGGAGGAGAGGAAACAAGGAGTTGAGGATTTTTATGAAGGAGTAATCTATACTTTGGACTATGGAGGGAATTTATTCAGTAGTGGTGTGAAGGTCATTGAATGTATTGCATGTTGAAACCTTTGACAAAGATGGCAATCCCTGGCTTATCGCTCTCTCTTTATGTCTGAACGCCATACCTTTCAAATGTCTATTGAATGAACAAATGTCAGTCTCTTAGTGAAGATGTCTTATATCTCAGTTTGTATTCTTCTACAGTCTCCTTATTATAACAGTCTTTTATAGTGTGAACACTTTTGAGGGTAGGAATGGGCAGATCTTCTTATCCTCTGGCATGTAGTAATCACTGAATAAATATTTGCTAAATAAATGACTGTATGATTTCTGCTTGTTTAGTTCCTTGTGTTGTATTGAAATTGTCAGATTTATTGGATGTAGTCTCTACTAAACTGTTTGGTCCAAAAGGATTAGAGCTATATCTTACTCATCCCTGTATCTCAGGGGCTGGCATAGGACAGGAGATAAGTGAAGGATTGAGAGAACTTAATTTTTTTTAAAGATACAACAGAAGCTACAACAGGTGAACATCTTCCACATGGTTGATAATTGGAATAAGGTGGTTTCATTACATATAAATCATTAGTGTGAGAAGAATGTATCTTAAGATATCCTCAGGTATAACATGACCACTTTTATGTTGAATTTTTGTAGATGTGTTGTAACAAGTTTGTTTGTTTGGGGGTTTGTTTGCTAGGAGGAGGCATCTCCCTACTCTTTGGTCAACATATGCCTGAACATCCTGGTTGCTAACCTGGAGAAATTGTGTTCTGAAAGATCTGATGGAACACTTTGTCTTCCGGAGCATTGGAGTTTTCCTCAGGAATTAGCTGATCGATTCGTTGGGATGATGACTTGGCAAGGTAATGATAAGACTGCTTTATTGTGTACATTTATAGCACTTTACTATTTGAAAAGCACTTTTGCATATAATTCTGTTTTGTTCCTCTCAACAACCCGCTGGAAAACACAGAAATTTGGTGGAGGTTGATTCTGAGACTCTTTCTGGTATCCCTTGATGAAAATTATCTTCCTTCTAGACTTGCCCTGCTATTGCTATAGTCTTATCTCCCATTCCTTTTTTTTTTTTCCTCCCATTCTTTTGATTGTGAATATGAACCTTTAAAAAATTTTCCTTTACTTCCTTTTGTAGTAGGGCTTTCAAAGGGCTGTTTTTGCTATGTTAGTGTTTTCTTAATGAAAAATTTGGGGGAGTAAGACATGATTAAGATAAAATTCACATAGTGTATAATTCATCCATTTAAAGTACATAGTTCAGTTATTTATTTTTTTTTTAGCATATTCACAGATTTTTGCAGCCATCATCACAGGCAGTTTTTATCACCTCAAAAAAAAAAACACACCTTATTCATCCCCCTATAATTCTTAGCAGTCACTAATCTACTTTCTACCTCTGTGAATTTGCCTTTTCTGAACATTTAGTGTAAATGGAATCATTTAATATGTGACCTGTTGTGTCTTTGGAGAAGGCAGTGGCACCCCACTCCAGTCCTCTTGCCTGGCAAATCCCATGGACGGAGGAGCCTGGTAGGCTGCAGTCCATGGGGTCGCAAAGAGTCGGACACGACTGAGTGACTTCACTTTCACGCATTGGAGAAGGAAATGGCAACCCACTCCAGTGTTCTTGCCTGGAGAATCCCAGGGATGGGGGAGCCTGGTGGGCTGCCATCTATGGGGTCGCTAAGAGTCAGACACGACTGAAGTGACTTAGCAGCAGCAGCAGCATTGTGTCTTGCTTCTTTCATTTAGCATAATATCATCAAGGTTCATCCATTTTGTAACATCAACTACTACTGAATTTTTATGGCTGTGTAATATTCCATTGTATTGATATACTACCTTTTATTTATTTCTCAGTTGATGAACATTAGGGTTTTTTTTAAGATTTTTTTTTAATGTGTACCATTTTAAAAATCTTTATTGAATTTGTTACAATATTGCTTCTGTTTTATGTTTTGCTTTTTCGACCACAAGATGTGTGGGATTGTAGCTCCCAGACCAGGGACTGAACCCTCACCCTCTGCACTGGAAGGCAAAATCTTAACTACTGGACTGCCAGGGAAGTCCCCGTGTTGTTTTTATTATACATTTTGGTATTATGAATAATGCTTCTATAAATATTAGTGTAGACATTTGTGTGTGTGAATATATGCTTTTATATCTTTGGGTGTATACCCAGCAGTGGAATTGCTGGGTTAAGTGGTAGCTTTGTGTTTAACTTTTTGAAGAACTTCAAATTCTTTCCCGAAGTAGCTGTACCATTTTATGTTCCCACCAGCAGTTGGAACAGAAGAGTTCAATTTTTCCACATCCTTACCAAAACTTGTTACCTAATGACTTTGATTATAGCCGTTCTGGTGGATGTGAAGTGGTATCTATTGTGGTTTTTATGTGCGTTTCCCTGATAGCTGATTGGCTTCCCTGGTGGCTCAGGCAGTAAAGAATCCGCCTGCAATGCAGGAGACCTGGGTTTGATTCCTGGGTTGGGAAGATCCCCTGGAGAAGAGAATGGCTACCCACTCCAGTATTCTTGCTGAAAAATTCCAGAGACAAAAGGAGCCTGGCAGGCTATAGTTCATGGAATCACAAAGAGTCAGACGTGACTGAGCACAGTATAAAATATAAATATAAAAAATACACATATACCTCCTTTATCCATTCATCTGTTATTGATATGTATGTTCCTGTTGCCATTTTAAAATTTGTTTTTATAGGTCTTTTTCTTTTCTTGTGTTTTCCGCCTAGAGAATCTCCTTTAACATTTATTGTATAGATGGTATCCATTCATCTGTTGCTGGACAGTTACGTTGCTTCCATTTCTTGGCAGTTGTAAATAATGCTCCTGTGAACATTAGGATGTATGTATCTTTCCAGATCAGTGTTTTGTTTTTTTCTTGGATATATACCCAGGGTAGAATTGCTGGTCATATGGTAGTTGAGTTTTTTTAAGAAAACTCCATACTGTTTTCCACAGTAGCTGCACCAATTTTTACATTCCCACCAACAGTATATGAGGGTTTCCTTTTCTCCACCTCACCAGCATTTGTTATTTGAGTTCTATTTGATGATAGCAATTCTGACGGGTGTGAGGTGATATTTCATTCTGGTTTTGATTTGGATTTCCCTGGTGATTAGGGATATAACACACACATCTTTTCATGTGCCTGTTGGGCATATGCATGTCTTTGGAGAAATGTCTGTTTAGGTCTTCTTTCCATTTCTAAATAGAATTTTTTCTTGATATTAAGTTACATGAGTTGTTTATATATGCATTGGGGATGTTTTATTGGTTGTATTAGGTTGGTGAAAAAGTAATGGCAATTCTTCAGACTGTGAATTTTAATTTTAAATCATTATAACTAGGCTCAAACACATCTTTATTAATCAAAAAAGGAACCATTACAATCAACATATGTTTTTCCAATGAGAAGTAAGTTTTTTTATTCCTGTAGAAGAAATCTGTGTTTTGGGATTTAGTGAACTCCTGGGAAGGCATTTTCTGCCTCTGTTGGTTGTGGAAGCATTTTCCCTGCAGAAAGTTGTTGAGATGCTTGAAGAAGTGGTAGTCAGTTAGGGAGAAGTCAGGTGAATATGGTGGATGAGGCAAAACTTTGTAGCCCAGTTTGTTCAACTTTTGAAGCATTGGTTGTGTGACGTGGGGTTGGGCATTACAGTCGGAGAAATGGTTCAAATGTTCATTTGTTGGGTAGATTAAGAGAAGACAACACTTCAAAACAATGATTTTTTTGATTTTTGGTCACCTCATGAGGCACCCACTTATCGAACTTTTTCACCTTTCCACTTTGCCTCAAATGCCAAATGACTGCAGAATGGTCAACGTTGAGTTCTTCAGCCACTTGTCATGTAGTTTTAAGAGGATCAGCTTCGGTGATTGTTCTCAATCGGTCGATGTCAACTTCCTTTGGCCAGCTACTACACTCCTCATCTTCAAGGCACTTGTCTCCTTTGTAAAACTTCTTGAACCATCACTGCTATGTACGTTAGTTATCAGTTCCTGGGCCAAATGCATTGTTGATGTTGCCTGAGTTGTCTCCACTACTTTACAATCCATTTTGAACTTGAATAAGAAAATTGCTTGATTTGCTTTTTGTCTAGCATAATTTCTGTAGTCTAAAATAAATAACAATAAACAGCATGAGAAATGCTGGATGAAACATAAGCTGGAATCAAGATTGCTGGGAGAAATAGCAATAACCTCAGATATGCAGATGACACCACCCTTATGGCAGAAAGTGAAGAGGAACTAACAAGCCTCTTGATGAAAATGAAAGAGGAGAGTGAAAAAGTTGGCTTAAAGCTCAACATTCAGAAAACTAAGATCATGGCATCTGGTCCCATCACTTCATGGCAAATAGATGGGGAAACAGTGGGAACAGTGACAGACTTTATTTTTCTTGGGCTCCAAAATCACTGCATATGGTGACTGCAGCCCTGAAATTAAAAAAACGCTTCCTCCTTGGAAGAAAAGTTATGACCAACCTAGAAAGCATATTAAAAAGCAGAGACATTACTTTGCCAGCCAAGGTGCGTCTAGTCAAAGCTATGGTTTTTCCAGTAGCCATGTGTGGATGTGAGAATTGTATGATAAAGAAAGTTGAGTGCCAAAGAATTGATGCTTTTGAGCTGTGGTGTTGGAGAAGACTCTTGAGACTCCCTTCGACTGCAAGGAGATCCAACCAGTCCATCCTAAAGGACATCAGTCCTGAATATTCACTGGAAGGACTGATGCTGAAGTTGAAACTCCCAATACTTTGGCCACCTGATGTGAAGAACTAACTCGTTGGAAAAGACCCTAATGCTGGGAAAGATTGAAGGCGGAAGAAGGGGATGACAGAGGATGAGATGGTTGGATGGCATCATCGACTCAATGGGCATGAGTTTGAGTAAACTCCAGGAGTTGGCCATGGACAGGGAGGCCTGGCGTGCTGCAGTCCATGGGGTCGCAAAGAGTTGGACATGACTGAATGACTGAACTGAACTGAACTGAGCTGAACTGAATTGAACTGAAACAGCATGTAATAAGTCATTAACAAAAAACATAAAGTGAGAAATGCACATTAAAATGATGTAACCACATTTATTTAAGAATGTATCCCAATATCATATGGCAAAGTTCAACAATGCAAAACCTCAATTACTTTTGCACCAATCTAATAGATTGGAGGGGAGAGCTCACAGTAGTGTTTCACTCTTGCCATGTTGTTGATGTTATGCCCTCTGCTCTAATTGTACTTTTCTTCTGCTTACTTTGGATTTAATTTGTTCTTCTTTTTCTAGTTTCCTAAGGTGGGAACTTAGGCTATTGATTTTAGATCTTTACTAATGTATGCATTCACAGCTATAACTTTCCCACCTAGCACTGCCTTTGCTGCATCTCATAGATATGGGTAAGTTGTGTTCTTATTTTCATTTAGTTCAAAATATTTTGTAGTTTCTCTTGATTTTTTTTCCCTTGATTCATCTGTTATTTAGAAGCATGTTTATCTTCATGTATTTTGGGACTTCCAGTTATTTTCTTTCTTTAAAGAAACTGATCATTTGTTTTGTACAGTATCCTACAATCTGGACTTTACCATTGTTTGTGCTATGATTTGACATGTTTCTCTGATTCTTGTAATTCTTATACATTGAAAATTAGAGGTAGAGGCTTGATCAAATTGAAGTTTGATGTTTGGTAGTGATGTTTGTACTTCTTGTCCTCAGTTTCTTCAGATGTGTCTGACTCTTTACAAACCCCATGGACTGGAGCCTGCCAGGCTCTTGGCAGGCAATTCTCCAGGCAAGAATACTGGAGTGGGTTGCCATTTCCTTCTGCATTGTA